AAGAGGAACCGATGAGAAAAATCTCAGAATTACATGCATCCTATCTTCCTCTCCGATATCCACTTTTTATGATGCATGGGGAACAAGGATGGCATGCAGATATTCCACTTGCTGGCAATGAGGTAGTAGGAAATGCAGCACGTAATTTGCATAATGGAGTTGAAGATCAAATTCCAAATGCAGAAGAACGTATAGCATTTCAAGAAGAAAATCCAACTACAGGACGTGGAGGATCAAAGCGAGTTACATTGGCATTATTTCATACCTACTATCTTCATATACGTACTCCAAATCCTTCTCACCTGTTCCTAGCAGGTAGACTTCTCCAAGAATGGTGTGTTGATGCCTTTGCTGCCTCTGAGCAAAATAATCTACGCTGGGTATTTTCAAATCAAAAAGCACTTCGAAGTGATCAATACCAAGGACTTGCAGACACCTTAGTTAATCAAGGAAATATGGACCTGGCCAGTTTAGGAAAGCGAGTAATCCTTCCATCCACCTTTGCCGGATCACCAAGACAAATGACTGAACTGTATCAGGATGCTATGGTAATAGTACGTGCCTTTGGTAAACCAGATTTATTTATTACCATGACCTGCAATCCAGCATGGCCTGAAATTCAGGAAAACCTGCTCCATGGGCAGCAGGTTACAGATCGTCCTGATTTAGTTGCCAGAGTATTTCAGTTGAAGCTCTCCAGTCTCATGAAGGACCTTATTGAGAAAGCTGTTTTCGGACGAGTGAAGGCTCATATCTATGTTATTGAGTTTCAGAAGAGAGGACTACCTCATGCACATATCTTAATGATGTTGCATGCAGCTGATACTATTCATACAGTAGACCAAATTGATCTTGCTGTTTCAGCAGAAATTCCAAATAAGGAAGATGACTATCAACTATGGGAGACTGTTACAACCTATATGCTCCATGGACCATGTGGGGTGGAGAATCTAAGTGCTCCCTGCATGGTTGATAGCAGGGGTCTGGATGGCTGTTGCTCAAAACATTACCCAAAGACCTTTTTAGAGGAGACTATATTAGGAGAGGATAGTTATCCTCACTATCGCCGCCGAAATAATGGGAGATTTGTTGAGAAAAGTCGTATCCGGTCAGATGGAACAGCCTCTACCTTTCGTTATGATAATCGCTGGGTTATTCCATATAATCCATTTCTCACTAAACGCTATAATTGCCACATTAATGTTGAAATTTGTTCCTCAATACAGGCAGTTAAGTATTTATATAAATACGTTTATAAGGGACCAGATCGTGCCAACATCCTGATTGATGATCCAGCAAATGTTAATGAGATTAAGGTTTATTTGGATGCACGCTATATTTCAGCACCTGAAGCAACATGGCGACTGCTAGGAAACAAGATACATCATGGAGGTCCTCCCATACAACGCCTTCAACTCCATCTACCTCAGCAGCAAGCTGTTTACTTTCAGCCTACTGAGAATCTCGATGACATTGTTGATCGAGCAATGGATAGAGATACTACCTTGACAGCTTATTTTAAAGCTAATTCCAAATATCCACTAGCCAGAAATGTACTGTATCAGGACTTCCCTCAGTATTTTGTCTTTCAGTACAAGAAACGGGAATGGACACCCCGTAAGAAAGATGTCTCAATTGGACGCATGTATTTCTGTGGTCCAAAGGCAGGAGAACGGTTTTTTGAAAGACTGTTACTACTTCATACCAAGGGTGCAACAAGCTTTGACTCCTTAAAAACAGTTAATGGTACCCTCTATTCAACATTTCGAGAGGCATGTAATGCAAAAGGATTGTTAGCAGATGATGATGAGTGGAAGGAGGTACTTCAAGATGAATCTTTAATATTAACTAGATTTCAACAACGCCTACTATTTGCTCTCATCCTCGCTGATTGCAATCCAGCAGAACCTAAGGAGTTGTGGAAGAGATTCAAGAACTCTATTACAGATGACTGTAATTATTTATTGATACACCAATATGGTATTCTAAATCCAACAGAGGACCAATGACTCTCACTTGGCCTCAGGCTTTTACAAGAAATTATTCAACAAAGTGGCAGATCCCTAGACGACTTTGGAATTCCGCAACCGACACATGAATTTCAGTTGATTAATGGAATAGAATCCTCGAGTTTTGGTAATCAAGATGTTCAGAGATTACAAAATCCTACAGTGCTTACAGCAGAGGTACAAGAGGATCTTCAAAGATGTAATACACTTCAGCGAAATGCTGTTAACAGAGTAATGGAATGTATAACAGTCAATAATCCGACACTCTTTTTCTTGGATGGACCTGGTGGAACTGGAAAAACCTTTGTGGAAAATCTTCTATTGAATACAATCCGGGGAGAGGGAAATATAGCTATTGCAGTGGCATCCAGTGGTATTGCAGCGACTCTGCTAAATGCTGGAAAAACAGCTCATTCTACCTTGAAAATCCCTATTGCTATTGATAAAGATTCCTATTGCAATATTCCTAAAAATTCAGAATTGGCTCGACAGATTCAGCAAGCCAAGATACTTATCTGGGATGAGGCACCAATATTATACCGCTATGCATTCGAGGCAGTTGATAGGACCTTTCGAGATATTCGCAGCTCACCTCTTCAGTTATTTGGTGGTTTAACAGTACTATTTGCAGGAGACTTCAGACAGTGTTTACCAATAGTACCTCGGGGATCACGTCCACAAATTGTTTCCTCCAGTCTTAAAAGATCCTACCTTTGGTCATCTGTTACTTGCCTTCAACTGAAGGAAAATTATCGCCTTTTAGGTGGTCATATGTCAGCAGAACAACAGAAGGATGCTACAGAGTATGCAGAACTCATTCTTGCAGTTGGAGAAAAGCGATTCCCAGAATGTGGCCTGGATAAAATTCAATTATCAGAGGTCTTACAACTTTCTAATAATAGAATTGATAAACTTATTACCAAGGTGTATGGAGATCTTAAGTGCATATTACCAACTCCTCAATATCTTGCAGAAAGAGCTATTTTAGCACCACGAAATATTGATGTTTCCAATATTAATGATATGGTGCTTGATCTTCTTCCTGGAGAGCCTACAGTATACTTCAGTGCTGATTCAGCTACTGAAGGAGCTGCTGAACTTTACTCAAGTGAGTATTTAAATACACTTACGCTATCCGGAATGCCATATCATCGCCTATTACTTAAGATTGGAGCTACCGTTATACTTCTAAGAAATCTCAGTCCTCTTCATGGCCTCTGCAATAGTACCAGGCTTCAAATTACACACTTAGGACAGAATTTGATTGGAGGAGTTATTCTTACAGGAACATGCAAAGAACAGAAAGCCTATCTCCCGCGAATCGAAATAACCAGTAATCCTGACAGTAATCTTGGTTTCCAGCTTAACCGATGGCAGTATCCTCTCCGATTAGCATTCGCAATGACGATTAATAAAAGCCAAGGACAATCATTAGATGTGGTTGGAATTTCTTTAGAGAATGATGTCTTTACTCATGGCCAGCTATATGTGGCATTATCACGAGCATCTAATCCATATAATGTCAAGGTGTTAACGAAGGATGGTGGACAAGTTGGTGTAACAAAAAATGTTGTCTTTTCTGAGGTCTTATGATGCAAATCTAAGCCATAAATGGTTTCCTCATAGCTTATATTGTGGTTTTGGCGGGTCTTGGTATGATAATTGGTGATATGTAACTATAACTGTGTTAATTCTATATCATTTCAAATCTCTGAACCAGTGTGGTAACACACGGGCAAATACTCGTGGTATAATATCATACTGTGGTTGGTGATTGGTGATAGGTTGTGATGGGCGGCGCGGGCACGGCACTTTTTGTTTCATTTGCATTCCATTAGCTTTTTATGGTTAGGATTTACTGTGCTTAGGCTTATATACCGTAATATTATTATTTGATTTGCCCTGCAGGATGGGTGGATGGATGGAGAAAGTTTCTGGAAGGGAGGGAGAGGGGATGCTGGATGTTGCGCATGTATTTACACGAAGTCAAATTGGTTTGAGCAAATGGGATGCTGGTACTGCATAGCGGGAGCATATGGCTTTTAGCGTGGGGTACGTTAGATCTCTCTCTCTCTACGAGTACCGTACAGTGTGCTATGCTTGTGCTCGTATGGTATTATGTATGATAGCCGTTGGAAGTCTCGGAAAAGTGTGGTTGCGTGCGGTGATCGCCCCGTACCTTTCTCACGGGCCACAGATCAGGGGGATGTACTGTCCTGTGCAAGTACCGGTACTGTAGGTGTCACGATTGGCGTCATATGTGGTTTACCGGTACTGGGGCAGAGCTCTGGAGGGGTGGGTGTACAGTACAGTGGTAGGGATGAATGATAGTAATGTCAATCAAACCGTGGGCCTAAGATGTACCCCCGCTTCTTCCTGCGCTCCGTGCTGTGTACGATTCTGGTTCGCGATAAATCTACGTCGTACACCCGGGGGTTCAAATTATCCAGCATGATTGTTAAGCAAATCGTAGGGATTTTTGCTTATTGTTTCCAATTTTGGGGGTGGTGATTCTGGTTTTCTTAGGGATTTCTCCTCCCACAGGAGCCTTGAAACTCGTCTTTGGTGATAAAAAAGAACAAACCGTATCAAATCATACCAAAAAAAAAAACATAAGGTAGCACAGCCAAATTTGAACTAGTGCCATTTCTCACAACCAAAATTTGTGCCTTGGCCTATTTTTGCTTATCATACATTTCGCAGGACACACATTTTATTCGAGGCTCCCATCCAAAAAGCCCAAACTTTGGACCCAAAAATCATGGTCTTCCAGTCCATATTTCCGGAAATCTTTGTTGGCAGTGGTAATTCGATCTGAAACCAGACGATTATTTTCTCTACAATGGGCAGGTTTATGGCGGCCGGAACCTAGCTGTATTATACGTTCAGGTACGGTCGTCAAAACGGGCGAAGCTTTCTCATAGCTTAAGAAGGGCTGCGTTGGCTGGCTTACTGCTTGTTCTCTCCACGTCGCTCTCTTTCAGCTTCCTCCATCCCCCCACCTCAAAGACTCGGAAATAGAAGGAAATAAATACTAAATACTACTCGTACAGCTTCCAGTGTGCTGCAGCTAGGAAAGAAACGGCAAGTTTGCATAGAGACTACCGTATCCATACCGAGATCCTCCCAATTCCACTGCCGTTTGACACATTTCAAAGTGACGGAATCTCTTCAGAGTAAATCAGGACTTCCCCGAGCGGATCTGTGTGTGGTCAGGGACGCGGCAAGAAAAGAAGTGGTGGTCGTGGTTTCCTCAGCAAACTGGGGCGGAAAAAACCAAAACGAGAGCTAGAGCCAGGTTTGGGGTTTTTCATCCAACCCAACAACATCGCACACTATTTTTCTTTCTCCTCTCGTTCCCTCCCTCGCCCCCCCCCCCCGGCCCGCACTTCTGACAGCTCGCGATCTCTACTCAACATAGCCCTCGACATCCGGAAATCCGCAGCAAAGCACAGCCAGTGCAACACAAATCTCCGACCGCTACGACAAAAATATAATTTGTCCTCGCTGCACGCTTCCTCCTCGCCTTCTCCTCCTCCCTTCCATATTTTCTTTCAGTAACTCCGTTACCTTGCAAGCTGTTGCACGTACGCACCTTCGCAAACTTCTTGTCCACGTCGAGTCCGTTCCTTGTCGGAGCTCTGGTCCCTCGGTATAGATACATTAAAGATGCCTCTTTGCGGCTCAAACAAGGTTGCGAATACTACTTCCTGTTCTGTGTTTGCTTTGATTTCTTTTCTCCTCCCGGTTTCGCTCCGCAAGTTCTTCAGCTCGGCTTTGCGAGTGTAGGCAGGCATACAGGATGAGTTCTTTTGGATGGGAGCAATTTTTCGCTAATAGTTTTTCTCTCTTTTGTGTTTGCAGACTACCCAGCGGAAGATCGTGCTACTAGGTTCGTTTGTCGATGAGCGGGTTGCTACGTGAGCGAGAAGGGTTGGTCCACTGATTGGGATGTGTATAACTTTAGGCGATGGTGCTTGCGGAAAGACATCATTGCTGAATGTTTTCACAAGAGGGTGAGCAGTTATTCCGTTCAATGCTTTGGAGGGACGGCGAGAATACACTCGGAGAGGCCGATAGGAGGAGGACAAAAGCTGATTGGGCTGTGGGGGTTAGATATTTCCCGCAGGTTTATGAACCAACGGTGTTTGGTGAGTCGATTCCTTCTGTGGATAACACTTCTTTCGGGGATCTGTGGGCTAATTGGTTGTTTGTGAAACAGAAAATTACGTACATGGTATGATTCCACTGCTGCAGGGACAACCCTGGAATGTTACTTCTAACATCAGTTGAACGACATTAGATATTTATGTAGACAATACGCACATTGAACTTTCGCTCTGGGATACCGCCGGACAGGAAGAATTTGATAGGTTAAGATCATTGTCATACAGTGATACACACACTATCATGCTATGTTTCAGTGTGCGTCGCAATCACCATTTATTGGGGGCACCTTGCTCGCCATTCCCCCTATATTTGTGCTGATAGTTATGCACAGGTCGACTCCCGCGACTCCCTAGAGAACGTAGAGTCAAAGTGGGTGGGCGAGATTGCTGACAACTGTCAAGGTGTCAAGCTCGTCTTGGTAGCACTGAAATGCGACTTGAGAGAAGCAGGTGATGGTGATGGACCGGAAAAAACTGTTCCTGGTGGTTTCATTCAGTATCCCGAGGGGTTGGCTGTGGCTGAGAGAATAAAGGTGAGAGTCGCTGGGGGACGCCCTACGTATTTTTGAATGATCCGTGCTGACTTGTGCATTCCAAAGGCATTGCGCTATCTAGGTAGGAAGAAGTGACTCGATATATATATATTGACGCATAAACTAACCACAAAATTAGAATGCTCTGCGAAGATGAACAGAGGAGTCAACGAAGCGTTCACAGAAGCTGCCCGAGTAGCCCTGAGTGCGAACGCTAAGGGTAGTAAGGAGTCAGGGCACAGGGCGTGTGTCATAATGTGATAAGCATGGAGGTACCATAGTAGTGGTAGTGAGGATGGATGTGTTGTATGAAAAGAGAAGGGAGGAGTTGGGATTATGGGATGGAAGAGAGGGGGGGGTGCTGTCAGAACCGGAGGGAGAAAAGAAGGAAAGAGTGTCAAACTTAGAGAGTTGGGAGGGGGCCGCTATCCTATCCTCAAGGCCTTTTTTCTTGTCTATTGAGGAGAAATCTGGTCGTATTGGCAATACGAGAATTCGATATGAGTAATGATGGGGATGTCTCGTTTACTCCCATACCTTTTTTTTTTCTTTCTCCCTTCCAAAAAAGCCCCTCTTTTGCACCAATCGCTCTTCTCCCTACTTCCCTACCCCTGTTTTTGTCTTTCTTCACAACTTGTGTCGACAGGAGTTTCCTCTTTTTTCCAATGTTCTTTTTTTCTCTTATGTCTTGCCACTATATTTTCATAATTTCCCACGGTGGACTCTTGGTTCTTTACTTTTTCCCTCTTTTGCCTTTTCTTTCTTTCTATCTCTTTTTAGGAGCGAGCGAGGTTGCTGGTATGCGCTTTTTTTTGTACATTATAGGTATTAGTATTTTTCCCACCCTTCTTCCACTTCTTCTCTCAGCAGCAGCGGCAGCAGAAGCACGGGATCCCGCGTCTCAGCTCGATGGATCGGAAAAGGAGGGGAAAAAAGCGTCCCATGACAGACAGGCAGAAGAGATGCGGTTTTTTTTTATTTTTATGATCTAGGTTCGATGGTATGGCGAGGGTGTATACTGCGCCGTAAGGTAGGTAAGATAATAAGGTATTAGGAGGTGAGTGAGTGGGTGAGTGGGAGAGAGTATATGAAATATATATGATCTCTATCTGGCGGAACAAATCTGATGTGTATTCTGGCTGCTTGTGCATGGCATGGAAGGGTAGACCGCCGTGTGGGAG